ACATATCAGTTATGTACATACACAGTCATCAGTTAGGCCACACATTTATTTTTGATTTCATGGGCCTACCATGGGGCCTTGTCTCCTAGATGGTGACTAGATAATATCTAGGTGATGACTAGATGATGACAAGATGTGACAAGATGATAACATGATAGTGACTAGATGATGATGAAAAGATGACTAGGTGATAACAAGATGGTGACTAGGTGGTGACTAGATAATATCTAGATGATGACTAGATGATAACAAGATGGTGACAAGATAATATCTAGATGATGACTAGATGATAACAAGATGGTGAATAGATGGTGACTAGATAATATCTAGATGATGACTAGGTGATAACAAGATGGTGACTAGATAATATCTAGATGACTAGATGATAACAAGATGGTGACTAGATGGTGACTAGATAATATCTAGGTGATGACAAGATGGTGACTAGATAATATCTAGATGATGACTAGGTGATAACAAGATGGTGACTAGATAATATCTAGATGACTAGATAACAAGATGGGGACTAGATGGTGACTAGATAATATCTAAATGATGACTAGATGATAACAAGATGGTGACTAGATGGTGACTAGATAATATCAAGCTGATGACTAGATGATAACAAGATGGTGACTAGATGATGACTAGATGATGACAAGATGTGACAAGATGATAACATGATAGTGACTAGATGATGATGAAAAGATGACTAGGTGATAACAAGATGGTGACTAGATGGTGACTAGATAATATCTAGATGACTAGATGATAACAAGATGGTGACTAGATAATATCTAGATGATGACTAGATGATAACAAGATGGTGACTAGATAATATCTAGATGATGACTAGATGATAACAAGATGGTGACTAGATGGTGACTAGATAATATCTAGGTGATGACAAGATGTGACAAGATGATAACATGATAGTGACTAGATGATGATGAAAAGATGACTAGGTGATAAAATGGTGACTAGATGATAATAAGATGATAAAAATATGGTGAAAATATGGTGGCTTCATGATGACTAGATAACAAGATGGTGACAAGATAACCAGATGACGACAAGAGGATGACTAGATGATGACTAGAGAAAACAAGATGGTGACTAGATGATAACTAGAGGAATACTAGATGATGACAAGATGATGACTTGATGATAACATAATGGGGACCAGTTGATGACAAGATTATGGCTAGATGATAACAAGATTATGACTAGGTGGTGACAAGATGTGACTACATGATAACTAGATTAAAACAAGATGGTGACTAGATGATGACAATGACATAATGATGACGAGATGATGACGAGATGATGACAAGGTAACACTACACAAGATGTCACCTGGAGTCTTGTCATTAAGAGAAAAGTATCAACAAAGACTCATCCCTTTTGCTATTCGTCTCTTTAACCTCTCTTCTTGTGAGTTGTGAAGACCTGCAACACAAATGACAGCATCTCCTGTGAGGCCTCTGATTGGCTGCACAATCATCCTCGTGAGCCGTAGAGAACCAATGTAGAGGATGCTGATGACACCAGGTGAAGTGGAAGCTGCAGCCAGGCAAGACTGAAGAAAACTGAGAGATGCAGGGAGAACGATGGTGTGCTAGCCTTTATTCACAACTATGTGACTGTTTGACATTCAAGACCTGACATTTTGTGCGTTTATGGACCTAATACCGCAAGCGATGGAGTGCACACTTGGTGCACATCACTTAATATGTCAGGTCTCTCACATAAATAACTGCAGAAAGTTCAAATTCTTATCCTACAATTGGTAAAAACATATTCAACTTACAAATTAGGTCTGGAGGTACTCAAGTGATGCCAAGGATTTATCAACTCCGGCCCTGTCTGCAGGAAGTGGCAGTACAACTTCCCAGTGCATATTGCCCTGGTCACATCTAATATTAGGGCTTTGTAGAGGAGACTTGTACTTCACTGATAACAAGACCAGCAAAGGGGAAAAGGCTAAATGTTTAGTTTAACATTCTTAGAATGTGACTTCAAAACAATAAGAACTTTAAAAAATCACAAGTTTGAATAAAATAAAGTAAAAATTCCAAATTTGCCTGCTAAGGTCACTAATAGTTTGGAACGTATCAAAATCCCTGCTGAGTAAGTATTTGAATGTAGGGACTCCCTAAATGTAGGGACTCCCTAAATGTGCCACTTTTAACATCACAGTTCTAACAAGGGCCTCAGTGATGTTCTTGCTTCATTGTGGACACTGTGTGCCATGAGGAGTAACTGTACTGGGCCTCTGTACTGGGCCTCTGTACTGGGCCTCTGTACTGGGTCACTGTACTGGGTCACTGTACTGGGTCACTGTACTGGGTCACTGTACTGGGCCACTGTACTGGGTCACTGTACTGGGTCACTGTACTGGGTCACTGTACTGGGTCACTGTACTGGGTCACTGTACTGGGCCACTGTCCTGGGTCACTGTACTGGGCCACTGTACTGGGCCACTGTACTGGGTCACTGTACTGGGCCACTGTACTGGGCCACTGTACTGGGCCACTCTATTGGGTCACTGTACTGGGCCTCTATACTGGGCCTCTGTACTGGGCCACTCTACTGGGTCACTCTATTGGGTCACTGTACTGGGCCACTGTACTGGGTCACTGTACTGGGTCACTGTACTGGGCCACTCTACTGGGTCACTGTACTGGGTCACTGTAATGGGTCACTGTACTGGGTCACTGTACTGGGCCACTCTACTGGGTCACTGTACTGGGTCACTGTAATGGGTCACTGTACTGGGCCTCTGTACTGGGTCACTGTACTGGGCCACTCTACTGGGTCACTGTACTGGGCCACTGTACTGGGTCACTGTACCAGGCCTCTGTACTGGGTCACTGTACTGGGTCACTGTACCGGGCCTCTGTACTGGGTGACTGTACTGGGCAACTGTACTGGGCCACTGTACTGGGTCACTGTACTGGGTCACTGTACTGGGCCACTGTACTGGGCCACTGTACTGGGCCACTCTATTGGGTCACTGTACTGGGCCTCTATACTGGGCCTCTGTACTGGGCCACTGTACTGGGTCACTGTACTGGGTCACTGTACTGGGCCACTCTACTGGGTCACTGTACTGGGTCACTGTACTGGGTCACTGTACTGGGCCTCTGTACTGGGTCACTGTACTGGGCCTCTGTATTGGGCCTCTGTATTAGGCCTCTGTATTGGGCCTCTGTACTGGGTCACTCTACTGGGTCACTGTACTGGGCCTCTGTACTGGGCCACTCAACTGGGTCACTGTACTGGGTCACTGTACTGGGTCACTGTACTGGGCCACTCTACTGGGCCACTCAACTGGGTCACTGTACGGGGTCACTGTACTGGGCCACTCTACTGGGCCTCTGTACTGGGCCTCTGTACTGGGTCACTGTCCTGGGTCACTCTACTGGGTCACTGTACTGGGTCACTGTACCCGGCCTCTGTATTGGGTCACTGTACTGGGCCACTCTACTGGGTCACTGTACTGGGCCACTGTACTGGGTCACTGTACCGGGCCTCTGTACTGGGCCACTGTACTGGGTCACTGTATTGGGCCACTGTACTGGGTCACTGTACCGGGCCTCTGTACTGGGTCACTGTACTGGGTCACTGTACTGGGCCTCTGTAATGGGTCACTGTACTGGGTCACTGTACTGCGTCACTGTACTGGGTCACTGTACGGGGTCACTCTACTGGGTCACTGTACTGGGCCACTCTACTGGGTCACTCTACTGGGTCACTGTACTGGGTCACTGTACGGGGTCACTCTACTGGGTCACTGTACTGGGCCACTCTACTGGGTCACTCTACTGGGTCACTGTACTGGATCACTGTACTGGGCCACTCTACTGGGTCACTGTACTGGGTCACTGTACGGGGTCACTGTACTGGGCCACTCTACTGGGCCTCTGTACTGGGCCTCTGTACTGGGTCACTGTCCTGGGTCACTCTACTGGGTCACTGTACTGGGTCACTGTACCCGGCCTCTGTATTGGGTCACTGTACTGGGCCACTCTACTGGGTCACTGTACTGGGCCACTGTACTGGGTCACTGTACCGGGCCTCTGTACTGGGCCACTGTACTGGGTCACTGTATTGGGCCACTGTACTGGGTCACTGTACCGGGCCTCTGTACTGGGTCACTGTACTGGGTCACTGTACTGGGCCTCTGTAATGGGTCACTGTACTGGGTCACTGTACTGCGTCACTGTACTGGGTCACTGTACGGGGTCACTCTACTGGGTCACTGTACTGGGCCACTCTACTGGGTCACTCTACTGGGTCACTGTACTGGGTCACTGTACGGGGTCACTCTACTGGGTCACTGTACTGGGCCACTCTACTGGGTCACTCTACTGGGTCACTGTACTGGATCACTGTACTGGGCCACTGTACTGGGTCACTGTACTGGGTCACTGTACTGGGCCTCTATACTGGGTCACTGTACTGGGTCACTGTACTGGGCCACTCTACTGGGTCACTGTACTGGGTCACTGTACTGGGTCACTGTACTGGGTCACTGTACTGGGCCTCTGTACTGGGTCACTGTACTGGGTCACTGTACTGGGCCTCTGTACTGGGTCACTGTACTGGGTCACTTTACTGCTTCACTCTACTGGGTTTTAACAGTTTTAACAGTTTTAAGTTTCCATCTGTCAAGGAATGTTGGAACAGGTAACAAGGAGCTGGCATCTAAAGGTGAAGCAGTGGAAAACACTGACCAGAGATTGTCAGAGTGCAAGCAGATATTAAGACAATCTTGAAATTTTCTTCTTACCACAAATGTCATGACAGTTATATTTGTGTGTAGATCTTTGGGGATGCCAATGAAACTAACTTAATATTTCCCAGAAGAATTTACATGTATTTGTTCAATCAGATAGTTGGAGATTTTAGGTTACTAGATAATCACCAAACTTCCCCCTTACATTCTTACTGTACCAATTACAAAGCAGTGGAAACAAACATGACGAAATAGAAACTCAAACTGACAAACATGAATGCAGTTTATCTGGGGTAAGAGTATTTGGCATTGCTACAGTCATCACTTGTTTGTAAACATAAGGGTCAGTCGGTTGCAAGTTCAGCTCCTTGCATGGTTGTAGGCACCTAGCACAGTTGGGAGCAGTGGTTGGTGGCAGTGATAGTATCGGTGTTCCCGCTGGCTTATGCAACTGCACATCCTGGTAGACTGGTGGCAGTGATAGTATCAGTGTTCCCGCTGGCTTATGCAACTGCACATCCTGGTAGACTGGTGGCAGTGATAGTATCAGTGTTCCCGCTGGCTTATGCAACTGCACATCCTGGTAGACTGGTGGCAGTGATAGTATCGGTGTTCCCGCTGGCTTATGCAACTGCACATCCTGGTAGACTGGTGGTAGTGATAGTATCGGTGTTCCCGCTGGCTCATGCAACTGCACATCCTGGTAGACTGGTGGTAGTGATAGTATCGGTGTTCCCGCTGGCTTATGCAACTGCACATCCTGGTAGACTGGTGGCAGTGATAGTATCGGTGTTCCCGCTCTCTTATGCAACTGCACATCCTGGTAGACTGGTGGCAGTGATAGTATCGGTGTTCCCGCTCTCTTATGCAACTGCACATCCTGGTGGACTGGTGGCAGTGATAGTATCGGTGTTCCCGCTGGCTCATGCAACTGCACATCCTGGTAGACTGGTGGCAGTGATAGTATCAGTGTTCCCGCTGGCTTATGCAACTGCACATCCTGGTGGACTGGTGGCAGTGATAGTATCAGTGTTCCCGCTGGCTCATGCAACTGCACATCCTGGTAGACTGGTGGCAGTGATAGTATCGGTGTTCCCGCTGGCTTATGCAACTGCACATCCTGGTAGACTGGTGGCAGTGATAGTATCAGTGTTCCCGCTGGCTCATGCAACTGCACATCCTGGTGGACTGGTGGCAGTGATAGTATCAGTGTTCCCGCTGGCTTATGCAACTGCACATCCTGGTGGACTGGTGGTAGTGATAGTATCGGTGTTCCCGCTGGCTTATGCAACTGCACATCCTGGTAGACTGGTGGCAGTGATAGTATCGGTGTTCCCGCTGGCTTATGCAACTGCACATCCTGGTGGACTGGTAACTCTGAAGATTACCAGTCCCCCCAAATGTTTGTCAGTCACACCTTTCAACAAATGGAAAACATATGAAAATTACCTGGTTTTAATTCTTTAAACATGTTAAACAACATGTTCAATGCAATGACATCATCTCTGCAGTGAAGATATGGGGAAGAATAGGTCTTCAGCAACCCATGCTTTCTGTAAAAGGTGACTATGCTTGTAGTAAAAGGCGACTAACGGGTTCGGGTGGTCAGGCTCGCTGATATGGTTGATGCATGTCATCGATCCCAATTGTGTGGATCGATGTTCATGATGTCAATCCCTGGATTGTCTGGTCCAGACTCGGTTATTTACTGACCGCCGTCATATTGCTGGAATATTGCTGAGTGCGGCGTTAAACAACAAACAAACAAACAAAAATCTCTGCAGTAACATAGTTAGATCTACACGTCATTCACACAAAGTTCTGTCTCAATTTTCTCTATTTAAATATTTCGAGACGAAGTTGCTACAAATAAATATTTTACCTCGAAGCAAAGCAAAATGTTATTTCCTTGCACTCAAAAGACCTTGTCCACAGGGACTGGCAGTCACATGAATTACCGGTCAAGGCCCAACATTGCCAGTAAAAAACCTGGTAATAGCCAGTAAATGGGAAGACTGAGCATAGAGACCTCTGTGGACGTGCTTATAACTGCTGGGACATACTCATATATCGGAACTAGCACGTGCTGCATCAGTGGTTGACAGTCAGATGGAAAAGTGGCTGCAGTACAATCTCCGAGTGGGAGAACCAGTCTGCAGGACTGGCTTAGAGCTGTCTCGAAGTCTGTGTGAGTGTGTCAAAGGATTTCATAGTCAGCCCACTGAGAATCCATACTGTCTGATAGCATGGACATCATACTCAAATACTGTATACTGACTCCGATCTTAATGTTTTATATCCCACTAAAGCCGAGTGGCAGGCAGAGAAACAAGTACCATCTAATTAACGTCTTGAAATGACACAACCGGGAATCGAACCCCTGACCCTCAACTTTGGGAAAACGCTCCACCAACTAGATGATGGAGGTGGTCCGAGCAGGAATAGAAACTAGGACATGAGACCTGATAATCTTCTAATATATTACTACAGGATCGTCATGGTCGCTATACCAAACACTGAAAGCACTACAACTATGCCCTGATGTTAAACTGTGACACCCATAAGTTTAATGTCCAACCATAAAGACAATTAGACAAGCATATAGAATATCACACCCCAAAATAAGGTCACACTCAACATGAGGTCACTCTCCAACATGAAGTTACACTCAACATGAGGTCACACTCCAACATGAGGTCACACCCCAACATGAGGTCACACTCCAACATGAGGTCACACTCCAACATGAGGTCACACTCCTTCACAATCAAAGTGAAGCTGTATCAACTGAACATTAATAAAATTAAACATGATGAAAACAGGTTATGTTTGACAACACATTTCTCATCAATTAAACCACAGCCAGATGGCCACAGATCAATATTCCGCTTATGCTTCCTGTACCAAGTTGTCGGCCTCCACTGACTGCCACTGTTGTCTGTACAGTGGAAACACAGGAGTGACGAGCAGTTAGAAGGTGATTTGTCACATTATGCATACAACCCACTTACCTGGTAGACACTCTCCCAACATGGTTGCTACTCCAGGACAGAACACAGCTACCAGTCTCACTACATCAACATCCTACTCAGAAGCCTCTCACTGATAACATGTAAATAACTGACAACTTCATTGCAGCTTTAGGAATTAATACTGACAAATATCCCACATTATATAAACTGTGTATCCCACGTCAGCTGACAATGTGATAAACTGTGTATCCCACATCACCTGATAATGTTATAAACTGTGTGGGGCGGTCGGGTAGCCTAGTGGTTAAAGCGTTCGCTCGTCACGCCGAAGACCCGGGTTCGATTCCCGACATGGGTACAATGTGTGAAGCCCATTTCTGGTGTCCCCCGCCGTGATATTGCTGGAATATTGCTAAAAGCGGCGTAAAACCATACTCACTCACTCACTCACTATAAACTGTGTATCCCACATCAGCTGACAATGTTATAAACTGTGTATCTCACATCAGCTGACAATGTTATAAACTGTCTATCTCACATCAGCTGACAATGCTATAAACTGTGTATCCCACATCAGCTGACAATGTTATAAACTGTGTATCTCACATCAGCTGACAGTGTTATAAACTGTGTATCCCACATCAGCTGATAATGTTATAAACTGTGTATCCCACATCAGCTGACAATGTTATAAACTGTGTATCCCACATCAGCTGACAATGTTATAAACTGTGTATCCCACATCAGCTGACAATGTTATAAACTGTGTATCCCACATCACCTGATAATGTTATAAACTGTGTATCCCACATCAACTGACAATGTTATAAACTGTGTATCCCACATCAGCTGACAATGTTATAAACTGTGTATCCCACATCAGCTGACAATGTTATAAACTGTGTATCTCACATCAGCTGACAGTGTTATAAACTGTCTATCTCACATCAGCTGACAATGTTATAAACTGTGTATCTTACATCAACTGATAATGTTATAAACTGTGTATCTCACATCAGCTGACAATGTTATAAACTGTCTATCTCACATCAGCTGACAATGTAATAAACTGTGTATCTCACATCAGCTGACAATGTTATAAACTGTCTATCTCACATCAGCTGACAATGTTATAAACTGTCTATCTCAAATCAACTGACAATGTTATAAACTGTGTATCCCACATCAGCTGACAGTGTTATAAACTGTCTATCTCACATCAGCTGACAATGTTATAAACTGTGTATCTCACATCAACTGACAATGTTATAAACTGTGTATCTCACATCAGCTGACAATGTTATAAACTGTCTATCTCACATCAGCTGACAATGTTATAAACTGTCTATCTCACATCAGCTGACAATGTTATAAACTGTGTATCTCAAATCAGCTGACAATGTTATAAACTGTGTATCTCACATCAGCTGATAATGTTATAAACTGTGTATCTCACATCAGCTGACAATGCTATAAACTGTGTATCCCACATCAGCTGACAATGTTATAAATTGAGTATCCCACATCAGCTGACAATGTTATAAACTGTGTATCCCACATCAGCTGACAATGTTATAAATTGAGTATCCCACATCAGCTGACAATGTTATAAACTGTGTATCCCACATCAGCTGACAATGTTATAAACGGTGTATCCCACATCAGCTGACAATGTTATAAACGGTGTATCCCACATCAGCTGACAATGTTATAAACTGTGTATCCCACATCAGCTGACAATGTTATAAACTGTGTATCAGCTGACAATGCTATGAATACATCCCACAGAAACTGAAACAGAAACTGATCGTGCTATAACAGAGGTATGACACTTTCTCAGTCAGAGCAGATGAAACACACAGTCAATACTAGGGCACACTTCCTGATGGAGGCCAGCGTGGGCGCAGTCCGGTGTGTGTGCAAACATGATCAAACATGATCAAACATGACCACCGTTAGACCAGAGCAAACATGACATATGCAGATCATGTAAAGTGGCTTTGTGGCGTACAGAATGTATGTTGCCTAGCAACAAAGAAAGCATGGAGTCAGTGATTATTGCTTAACGTCAAATCAGCGATATTGCAGCTATTCGCAAGCAAAATATCCAAGTAAGAATGGACTGAATCTTGTTTCATTTTTAAATGATATCCTTGATCTATATGTAAAGATAGGTAGAAAAGTAAAAAAAATAATTTAAATGGGTTCATTTGAAGTTAATTTCATTAAAGAAATCCTCTTTAGATAAATTTCAGAAAACCAAAAGCATATTTCAAAATAAAAACTGTTTCTATTTAACTCAAACTTTTGTTCTAAATTACTTTTTCATAACTGTCCATTAAATTAGTAGCAAACTGGTCTTGTATAAGCCATGTAAGCATTGTTTCAAAATGTTCAAGGCTTTTTTGTCTTAAATGTGAGCCATGAAACAAATATGAATTCACTTTGAAACTTTGGCCCAGGTCGTCATTCAGGTAGTGATTCAAACAATTCTGGAACAACTGAGAAAAACTGCTGAAGAGACACAAAAATCAATTGTTCCAGCTCGGGGTGAAACGAGACAGCAAGGTCACGAAAGGATACGTATCGTGATATGCATATTTACATCAAATTACATTAAAACTTCTTGACAATAAATATTTCAGAGCATATTTTCCAAAGGAAAAGCTAGCTGCAGACACATGTTCAAAGTGGCTATATTTAGTAGTGAACTTGAAACACTAATTACAACACATTTTGCTATATCTGACTGTCAAAAACGCCAGGGGTCATTTAACGAGTAGGAAGTAATATATTTCAGCAAGTGTATCATCGTGTATTGATACAGAGAAAAACGTTTCGCACATGAAAACTCACAATGTACCGGTGCAGCGATGTATCGTTGCACCCCCAGGTCAAGGACAAACATTGACTCCAGCATGCAAGACCTAATTGTGTTGCCACCCGAGTGTAGAGCTAGTCACACATGGCAAGGTGAGACAGTGAAGCTGTGCTCAACTGGATAGATCAACTTGTCCTTGTAAAAGTATTGCACTTACTTCAGATTTGACAATAAACAAAGCATGTTAAATATGTTGGGAGAGCCCATTTTACAACACATCAACTTTTCCATTGTGGATGATACAGAAGACTTCCAAGTTCCCGCGAGTCTGAGATGACTAACTTGTGCTGAGGAGAAGTAACATTCCAATGATGTCCTCGATCGCTGTTCCAATACGGATAATTGGAATCAATCATGAAATCTAAAACAATATTCCGGTCACCATTGGGACAGATAAAGGATCATAACCAGGGTGGATATGTTATAAGGATGATACAATCAGCTGATCCTGGCATGACTAAGGGATGCAACTCTGCACAATTGATGGCACACTACAATGAATGCCAGGTACAATGTGCAATCTCATTAAAATCAGATCTTAGTTCTCGCTATCACTAAACAAAAATCTGAGGACATCCCATTAAGGGTCACGTCAGAACGACCTTTCATCCGACCAATCAGAGCGTCGCTTACCAAATCATGAAAGCGACAGTCGGAATGTGTTTTCTAATCATGCAACCACGAAATATTTAACACGGGGTTTTCCGAACGACAGTTACAGGTTTTATGATTATATCCATACAATCTAGGCCATCTATAAGCCATTCCAGAATGTTCTTCTTATCAGTTTTAATTTTTTAAATTGAGAATACGTCAAAATATGTTTCGAAGCGTAGTCGCCAGTTTGAAACTAGTGTCGTAAAGCTTGAGAAAGCTGCCTTCTGATTGGCTAATGTCGATTTCTTGTCAGTTATTTCATTGGTCGGTCAAAATTCGCAAAAGGTCGTTCTGACATGACCCGTAATGGGATGTCCTCAGATCTTTGTTTAGCGAGAACTAAGATCTGATTTTAATGAGATTGGCACGATGTGTGGGCTTTGTGATAAACATTAACTTGTAATAAATTCTTAAACATTGAGTCATAACCAGATTATTACAACAACAATATGCCTGTTGTGACACTGAAACAAATGCAAATCTGATGCAGGCCATTTAATATTAATGTATAAACTTCGCTTCAATATAAGTTATGAGAGAGAGAGAGTGAGCATGGTTTAACACTTCTTTTAGCAATATTCCAGAAATATCACAGCGGGTCAGACATTACAAAATATTAAGTTGGCGTTTATTATCAATGACTGATCACTAAGGATATACAGATCATGTAAAATATAGTATCATAAATAATGAAATCCTGAATTGATTTTGTGGCAAGCAGTTATACTAAAGTGCCTCCTGTACTGATAATACAGGGGTCAACACAATATCCAACTATTCACATTTCTCACCAGAAGGTGATGCCAAATAACAAGATTTTTGAAGAAAACACCCATCTCAAAGCAAGGGACCAGTATACAAGTCTAACCCGTCCAGAACCCGTATACAAGTCTAACCCGTCCAGGACCAGTATACATGTCTAACCCGTCCAGGACCAGTATACATGTCTAACCCATTCAGGACCAGTATACATGTCTAACCCGTCCAGGACCAGTATACATGTCTAACCCGTCCAGGACCCGTAAACAAGTCTAACCCGTCCAGGACCAGTATACAAGTCTAACCCGTCCAGGACCAGTATACAAGTCTAACCCGTCCAGGACCAGTATACAAGTCTAACCCGTCCAGGACCAGTATACAAGTCTAACCCGTCCAGGACCAGTATACATGTCTAACCCGTCCAGGACCAGTATACATGTCTAACCCGTCCAGGACCAGTATACAAGTCTAACCCATC